TGTGTGTGTATTTTTTAAAAACCATATAAGCTCTAGAACAACACACAGGAGGATTAAAAACTAAGCAGGGATAGCCTTTCTAAGCATAGCACAAAACCTAGAAGGCATACAAATATTGACAAAAATTGAGCACACTAAAATGAAATTTTTTTACAAAGGCCACAACTGGGGAAATATGTACCATACATCAGAAATGAAAGACAGTTTTTGTTAATAGTATAAATCAATGAGAAAAGAATAATGACCCAACAGAACAAGAAATAAAGGAATGGTATAGTTCACAGTAAAAGAATGAAAACTGCCTTTTTGAATAATTAAAACATACTCAATATCAATTACAATAAAAAAAATCTAAGTTAGAACTATAATAAAATAATTTTCACCCGACACTGGCAAAAATGAGAACATGTGGTGTTGGCAAGAATGTGGCTCAAACATTGTCACACATTAATGGTAAATGGCACAATCTCTTTAGAGGGGAAGTGGCAACAGCTGTCAAAATGAACAACTGACTGTACCCACTGACCTAATGGTTTTGTTTCTAGTTTATCCTCTACATATACTGCTGTACCTATGCACCAAGTTACTTACAAGGATAGTCACTGCAGCGTTATTAGTAATGGAAGAAGGTTAGAAAATAACTAATGCATCTTCAAAAGAGAATTGATTAAGTAAGTTATGTTATATCCACGCAGTGAAATATTCTGCAGTGATTTAAAGAATCAGGTAGACCTCTATGAATCAATATGCTATAACCTAAAAATAAATGATGTGGAAAAAAAAATCACAATAGAATGTGTATGATACCTGAACATTATGTGAAAAAAGCATTATGGATAGAATATCTCCAGGAGAGAGAACTTGTAAACAGTGACAGCCTCTGGGGAGTAGCAGTGGGCAGTGACCTGGGGAGGGAGATGTACTTTTCACTGTATTCTTATACTTATCAGTCTTTGGTATTGTTTGCTGTTTCTTAAAAAATCACGTGTATGTGTTACTTTTTGAAAAAAAAATTTATGTTAAGAAATAGTAGTCTTAACTACAGAAAACAATGTATCTTAAAGAAATATGCCACTAACAACAGAGTAATGACCTGTTCTACCTGAAAAATAAAAATAAAATTTATTAACTGCTATTAATTTTAAGATAGAACAATTCTACGGGCATACTATAAAAAAGTGGCAAATCAATCAAGTCACCATTTTGACTAAGGGTGGTACTTGAAATGAACCCTACCCTGTTTTTCTAGGTTAAAATGCGAAATAAATCTCAGAATAGGAAAGCAGCAAACTTTAAATTAAAAATCTTCAAGCTTTGTTTTTTAATCAGAGAAAACAAAAGGATATAAAACTTTTCATCTTGCTATCCCCTTGGTTCTGGTTGAATATAATTTTGTCAAGAAGGCAGTATCCAAAGCAGATTATAAAATCAAATAACAATATTATCAATCAAGTTAACCCAAAGCATAACAATTCCATAGGTTTCACAGTTTATAAAAAAAAAGTCATTATCACAATGTTTCATTGTTATACAGTATTAAGAATTTAACACATAACCTACTTATACTTGGTCTCTCATTTGTAAGTAGTAAAATCCTATCCCAAAAAATCTTGAATAGTATATGTTATCTTTTAAAGTATATGTTATCTTTTAAATTAAAAAGATTGTTCAACAGTAAAAAATTGGAAGCAAACTAAAGACTCATCAGGACGAAACTGAATACCTATGGCTATTAAATAATTTATGGTTTGTCTCTAGACTCTGGAATACTATGCAGCCGTAAATAAGAGTAAGACAGCTTGTCAGATTGATTTGGAATGATCTCTAAGACATGCTGTGAAGAAAAAAGCAGGATGCACAATAGTATATAAATATACTACTGTCCAAAAGAGATGGGAAGGAGGAAGTATTACATATCTATTATGTTTGCTTATACATATATTATATATATACTACAGTGTTGCTCATATAGGCAATATAGAGGTCTGGAAATAAAGAAATAGAACTGAGGAGGAAGATGGGGTGGTTGGGATAGCAGTAGACTTTTTACTGAATACTTGTTTCTGAATACTGAGTACTTTCTTTTTACTGAATACTGAATACTTTCCGGTTTAGAATCATTCAAAAATAGCAATGTAACATCTTAAAAACGTAAAAAAAGTCTGAAACACTGCTTGCTATTTTGGGGTATCTATGATCTTTCTTTGGATGTTATGACAGTGCTTTTCCTTTTTCCTTGAGGAAAGAATTCAGCCTAATGTGCCGTGGCACGGTCTTATTTTGGAAACGAGTATCAGGTACTATACTTACAGTTCCACCCATGTGAGGAGGCAGGTATTCTGCACTGACATAGTCTTGGACTTCATTTTTACTTGTAAACTTCAACAAACTCACTGCTTCTGGACCAAGCCAGGATTTCACAATTTTGAAAGCAGCTGAAGAAAAAACAGTCATGTTATTAAATTCTTTTCATTCCCTTTCTCAATTAATTTACCGTATGTGCTAACTCAGGTCTTCTGAAATTAGTTTGGGCTAAAATCTGTTAATATGTGTCTCTGATGGCATGATATTTAACATTCTCTAATTCTTGTGGGCTGTTACACTGTGACTGTCCCTTATGGGTTTCAAATGTTCCATGAAGATTCAGGAAGATTAAATTACCCTGAAGTTCTCTAATAAAATTATCAGGGTTTTGGCCTCTGCACAAATCCATCAATGATCCCAACTGCTAAGATGTCCAGATACTGAATCAAATAGCATTGCGATTCAGTGAATAACTGCACAGTGGTATGAGAAGTGTCATCTGCCTTACGCTTCTGATAAATCCCCACTCTGAAAACCCCCCTCATACAGCAAGTCAGGAAGTAGCTCTCCTCATTATGGGTGTGAGCTGGATCCAGACTTAGCAGCCTAACCCCAGACTTCTCTGCCGTTCTCCCAAGCCCTGCAGTTTATGTAACTGCGAGGAAGGAATTCGCGGACTCTGCCATTCTGATTTATACTTAATTTTTAAAGCCTCATTTCCATTGCGACATTCTAAGCACATTTTAAAGGAATTAAAAGAGGAATCCTGCATTAAATTTGCAAAAGTGTCAATAAAAAAATCAGGAAATAAAACAGCATATAAACATTAAACAGTACTTCAGAGAATTACATTTTTACTTTGGCTAATTGTGCTTAAAAATTTTTTACATAACATTTACATTTTCATTAATTTCCATTTTAAAAGTCTGGGAGTTGACATGTTTAAAATTATGCTACTTGAATTAACTAAAGTGCTAAATCTGATTTTTTAGAACAGCTTAATTGAGATGTAATTTACATACCATAAAATTTACTCCTTTAAAGTATACACATCAGTGGTTTTTAGTATATTTGCGGACTTGCACCAGCATCACCGCTATCTAATTTTACAACATTTTCATCATACCAAAAAGAAACCCTCATCCGTTAGCAACCTCTCCTTATCTTCTTTTCTCCCATTCCCTGGCAAGCACTGATCTACTTTCTGTCTCTATGGATTTGCCTATTTAGGACATTTCATATAAATGGAATCATATGTGTTTTTTTCCTACTGGCTTTGTACACTCAGTATGTTTTGAAGGTTCATCCATGAGGTAGCATGTATCAGTATTTAATTCCTTTTTATGGCGGAATAATTTTCCATTTTATGGATCTATATATAACATTTGTTTATCCTTTCATCAATTGATGAACATTTGGGTTTCTGCTTTCACTATTATGACTAGTGATATGAACATCTGTGAAGAAGTTTTTGTGCGGATGTATGCTTTCAGTTCTCTTGGGGTTAGTTATACCTACGAGTGGAATTGCTGGATCATATGCTAATTAGGTGTTTAACTTTTTGAGGAACTGCCAAATTGTTTTCCACTGTGGTGTACACCACTTTACATTCCCACCAGCAATGTATGAGGGTTCCAGTTTCTCCACATCCTTGTCAACACTTGTTCTTGTCTGTTTTTTGTTTTGGCCATCCTAGTGGGCGTGAAGTAGTATCTCCTTTGGTTTTGACTTGAATTTCTCTAATGACTAATGATGTTGAACATCTTTTTATGCATCTTTGTATATATTTATTTATTTTTGTATAACTTCTTTGTAAAAATTTTTATTCAAATATTTTGTCCTTTTTAATTGGGTCATTTGTCTTTTAATTGTTGCACTGTAAGTTATTTATATATTCTAGACATAAGTCCCTTATCAGATACATGATTTGTAAATATTCCCTTCTGAGAGATGTCTTTTCACCTGATGGTATCTTTTGGAGCACAAAACTTTTAAATTTTAATGAAGGACAATGCATCTTTTTTTTCTCACTTGTGTCTTTTTGGTGTCATATCTAAGAAACCACAGCCTAATTCAAGGTCGCAAAGATTTACTTTTATGATTTCTTTTAAGAATTTTACAGTTTTAACTCTTACATTTAGGGGTCTGATCCATTTTGAGTTAAATTTTATATATGATGGGAGGTAAAGGTCCAACTTCATTCTTTCGAATGTGGATGCATGTTCAGTTGTACTAGTACTATTTATTAAAAAGACTATTCTTTTTCCGCTGAATTGTATTGCCACCATTATCAAAAAATTAACCATAAATGTTCAGGCTTGTTTTTGGACTCTCAATTCTGTTTTATTGATCTATGTGTCTACCCTTAGGTCTCTACCACAATGTCTTAATGATCATAGCTTTGTAGTGAGTTCTAAAATCAAGAAGTGGGGAAGTGTGAGTCCTCCAATTGCATTATTCTTTTTCGAGATTATTTTTACTACTCTGGGTCTCTCGCATTTCCATAACAATTTAAAGACAAGCTTGTCAATTTCTGTAAAAAAGGCAGCTGAGATTTTGACAGAGGCTGCACTGAATCGATCAATTCAGGAAGTACTGTCGTCTTAACAATATTAGGTCTTCCAGTCCTTGAGTGACAGCTGTCTGTATACCTACGTCTTGAATATCCTTCAATGGCTTTTTATAGTTTTCAGTGTACCAGTCTTGAACTCATTTTAATTTTATTTCTAAGTACTTTATTCTTTGAGATGCTATTATAAATGGAATTGTTCATTTCATTTTGGGATTATTCGTTCCTAGTATATAGAAACACAATTGATTTTGTGTATTGACCCTGTAACCTGCTACCTTGCTGAACTCACTTATTCTAATAGTTTTTTTGTGTGTTTGTATTTCTTAAAATTTTCCATACAGAAGATTATGTCATCTGTAAGTATAGATAGTATTACTTCTTCTTTTCCAATCTGGATGCCTTTTTCTTTCTTTATCTTGCCTCAATGCCCTGGCAGTATAAGTGGTAAAAGCAGACAACCCTGTCTTGTTCCTGATCTTAGGGGCAAGGCATTCATTCTTTTATTGCTAAGTATGATTTTAGCTGTGGGTTTTCATAGATGCCGGTTTTACATAGATGCCCTTTATCAGGCTGAAGAAGTTCTCTTCTGCGTAGTGAAGAATTAACCTTACCCAAAGAAAGGTCTGGCCTTTGACCTCAGCTTCGGGGAGGTAACCTTCATGCCTGATAGGACCGTCTTTGTCTGGGGGCCTTGGGCCTAACTGGAACAGTATGATTTAGGGTTGGGCTTTGTGTCACACAGTATCAGTAGACCTCTGGAAGAGGCTGGAGACTGATATAAACCATGTGGTAAATCGATCAGGCCTGTGTAATGGAACCCTGATAAAAGCTCTGAATGCCACAGTTTGGGTGAGCTTCCCTGGTTGCCAATACTCCATGGGTACCGCCACGTATCAATGCTGGGACATTAATTTGCTCCACATTTGGTAGTCCCTGGATTCCGCCCTCTGTTTTTCTTTCCTTGGCTGATTTTAACCTGAATCCTTTCCCTGTATGTAATAAACCGTAACTGTGAGTAGAATGGCTTACGGTGAATTCTGTGGGTCACTCTAGTGAACCTAAGAGTGGTTTTAAGAATCCCTTGAACTTACATTTGGTGTCAGAAGTGAGGGTAGTTTTGTGTGTAGACTACCATGGTCCCCCTAATTTCAAGTTGTTCCAACTCTTTGCACCTTCTATTCCTAGTTTCTTGAGTGCTTTTATCATGAGACTGTACTGGATTTTGTCAAATGTTTTTTCTATGTCTATTGAGATGATCATGGTTTTTTTTTTCCTTTAGCCTATTGATATATTGGATAACATTGATTTTCATATGTTGAACTAACTTTGCATTCCTGAGATAAATCCCTCTTGGTCATAGTATACAATCCTTTTTATATGCTGCTAGATTTGGTCTGTTAGTAGATGGAAGGTTGGTCCATCAATATTCATAAAGGATACTCGTATGTTGTTTTCCTGTCATGTTTGTTATTAGGAATAGACTTGTCTCATAAAATGAGTTGGGAAGTGTTCCTTCTATATTTTTGGAAGAGTTTGAAAAGGATTGATGTTGATTCTTTGTATGTTTGGCAGAATGTACCAGTGAAGCCATTTGGACCTGGTCTTTTCTTTGTGAGAAGTTTTATGATTACTAGTGTTTTTCAGTAGTTAAATATTTTTATAAAAAAATATATATCGTAGGGGGAAGGGAAAATATATCATGATTGTCATCAGGGCTATGGGACTACAGAGATTTTGATTAAATTTCAGATTTATTCCACCTTCCTCAACACCTGAAGCCCATGAAAAAACCTAGCAAGCCCTGTGTTCTATGAAATACCCCATTTGTGAGTGACAAACTGAGGCTTCTGACTAGTTTTATTTGGATAGCTGAACATCTTGAGGCTGTTTTTAGAGAAGAAATTGAGTGTCCCGAAAGCCTGGGGGTAGAAAGTCAGCCCAGTTTGCTTAGGAACAGCCTTCAAATGTTCTACACCAAGCACGATATAAACAATTTTTTAAACAACCATAGAAATATGGCTAAACTGGCAAAGAAAAAAGTATATTAGGCATTTTGTTTTAAGAAGTATAAATAATATACTCACCATTCATTATCCAAGGCATATCGAAGATCACTATTTTTGCTGAAAGATGAAAAAATTCATTGAATGTGATTTAGTACCACTATAGTAATATCAGTCATACCTGACCTAGAAAAAATGTTGATCTAAATATTACTAAAAACTGAGCTGGCTGACCCAGTTCTAAGTCAGTGAAGTGTGAATGCTAGAATTAAACCCACAGTGGTGAGGGTCCCACTCAGGAGGGTGGCTTCTAGGAAACGAATAATACACTATCACTGTCCTTTGGTAAGTAGCCTGTTCTTTTGTTTATTGCTCTTGTTTGCAGAAAGGTACAAAAGAAAATAGTTAAGTGGGTAAGTGGAGTCTTGAGATGTGGCATGTCATATTAGTGCTGAAGTCCACTGAACTTGAAAATGATTTCAATATCAAATTTATGGTTTCAATTATAATTTTCTAGAGATTACATTGTTAAACCACTCTCACAGTTGCCCCCACCAGTTTAATAAATCATCATGTTTGAAGAAACAAAAATTATTTCTACTTTTCTTAATATTATGAGCTCTAGGAAGCCAATAATTCCAAAGTATACATAAGTATTATTTGCATACTTAGATGAAGATATTAACATTTGTGAGAAAGAACCAGAAACCACATAGGGGGATTTTTGATATCCAATTTTTATTCTTCATTCCAGAAGAATCAAAATGTAATTTCATTCTTCTCTGAGCAGAGAGCCTCCTAGAATGATTCTGTTAATGCAGGACAGTGAAGTACGTGTGAAGAACAAGGTATCTGCAAAGAGCTACCTGCTACTTAATACTTCAGTCTTCATCAGGAATATGTCTAAAAAGATTTGGACTCAAGATATTAAGAAATAATATATTTCACGACAGGTTTTAAAGCACAATAAACTTAAAAATCTACAAAATTCAATGTCTGCAAAACTACATTATATAGGTAGAATATATACCTATATCTCTAGTTACTTATCGCTAGTTATTGGAATGAATATATTCCAAATCATTTTTATATTGAGCCATGCATTTATTACTAGTATTGTCAAAAAAAAAAATCTTGGATGTGTTTATAAAGTAATAATACTATTTAATGGTTCTTTGCAAATTCTAATAGATATTTTGATAAATGAGTGAATATTTTATTTTCATGGTGTACATAAGGGAAACAGACTAATAACATTCCCTACTGACCACTGGCTGGCACTGCTCAGTACATGTTATTGACTCAGGGTACATGCCAGATCCAGTAAGAATTCAGAAGGAACAGCAGGTCCTACAGGGTCCCCAAACAAGACATTGTGTTTACTAGAAACACTCACAAATACTCTCTGAAGTCATAGGGCTGGGGTGGCACTGATTCTTGATACTCTAATGCTTTTTGTCTATTCCTCACTTCGCATTAATAATGCAAAAGCATACACAAGTAAGACGATCTAGGGATTTTAGGCCTTTAGTGTCACCTTGAGTCATAAGTCCCAAAAGACCCTAATTGTGATATTCGCCATTTTCTGATGTCCCTGTTGCCTCTCTCCTATCTTCTCACTTTCAACCCACTGAGGTTAAAAATCTTTGTTTATGTGGGATGGCATCTCCATTTCTCCAGGGAGAAATCATCATATAAATCCAATAAATCAAAACTGAATAAGATTTAATTAAGAGTTCTTCGTTCAGGTAATGAATGAAATAATCACAATGAAAAACAAAGGAACTCCAAATGCCAGATTCACATGCAGTACAAGATAGCAAGTGTTTTCTCAATGACAGTTTTTAAATAGCAACTAGTAACACAGTGTACCATACGTATGAGTGTTGTTTATCACAGAGTACACTTTATCAATATTGTTTATCTGGGTTTTGTATGTGAGAAGTTCTATGTAATATTTTAAAGGAATTTCTCAATTGAAAGATTAGGAAAAATGGGATAATCTTGGAAATAAGTATATGTTTTTATGTCCCCATATGTGTGTATGTAATATACAGTTTAGAACTTAAACTCTTAAAACTAATTGTAAAGGACAATGATTATTTATGAAAAATTTCCCCCGTACCTACTAGGATACGCACTGAAATGTCTATGAACACACTTAAGCTCTTCATCAGAAAAGTGTTTCAGCTATTAAACACTATAATAATATAAAACTCCACAATTCTCAGACATTGTCTACAGTTTTTAAACATCATATTTTTTATAAAGAAGTAAGTTACTTACACAGGTATTTAGGGTAATAAACCTTAAAGCAGTTGATGATAAAGCGTACAAAATCCATGTCCTAAAATAAAGATTATACATTGAAATCTTTAAGAATGTCCACATTTGAGAATTTTAAAGTGCATATTTCTAAAGGTGATAAATTATTAAATACAAATGAGACAATTATTAAAGTCTTTAAAAATAAGCTCATATATAAATATCTATATTCCTAAGGATTAAGCTATTAAGCCATTAAGCTACTTAAAATAATCAGTCCTAAAAATGAGTTAAATCAGAAAGAAGCTTAAGCATCATTCATGTTACCTCAAACTAGAGATACCCCAGGCTGCTAAGGTAACGTGGACCTAAAATGGACCTAAAAGCAATTCCCATAGAGAAATTCTAAAGATCTGTTAAACAATTAAATTATTGAAACAAATGTACAGTTTACAACCTGACTACTTGAAATGATAATACATGTCTCTAAATTTTGGTATATTTGCTTTTTAAAGTTAATTTCTATACCTCATAATAGCTTTAGTAAAATATATTTCATTAATCTTTTCCATAACAGTTAAGTTAATCTGATCATATTGATCTGCTATATCTATTTCACTTCTAGCTTCTTTCCTCTTATTTAGGGACCTAGAATTAGAATTTCTTAGTTTATATTCAAATGTTCATTGACTCCAATTCTGGGAGACTTTATAAACATAGCTGTGTGGTTGATTCCATTGCCTTGAACACAGCAACATGAAATTAGGTTATAAGGATTATGATTCACATGGATCACTTCATTCCATGTTATTCCACAGCCACAGGCTGATTTACTAATCCTGATCAGCCATCTTATAAGAACTGTAGGATATCTATCATCCATCCATCCGTCCGTCCTTCTATCAATCTATCATCTATCTAACCAGGCAAACTTAGATCCATCAATTATTGAAAGATGGGTTGTCCTAGAAAGAGAGTCTATACACTCATTCCTAGCATGTGAGTTATAGCATCTTTAACTCTAGTAAACTGAAAGTAAGCGTCCTTAACTATTGTAGGTATTTATTATGGGATAAATCCTAGTATATAATAATACCTTTATGACTAATCATTATATCCACTGTGCATAGAGCTTACTAATTTATAGTTAAGTAAGAGTCAAATATCTCCAAATAACTAGTTATATATAAATTTGGTTACCTAGTATCTGATCTGTGGCCCCCAGAGACTGCCTAAAAAAGTCTTCATCCAATATTCTTCTTTTCATCTTTTATGTAATTGAATATCCTGCCTTATAAAATCCCAAGTTACTGCTAATTCAAGTGGATTTCATAGGCTGCCACTGGTGTACATATATTAGTAGGTACTACATAAAAGAGCTCCAGGAAACTACTGGTCTGCATTCTGTGAGGATGCTTTCAAGGATGCTATTCATTATCTCATAAAATGTCCTCCCTTTGAGGACCCATGAAAGACTTTTCTCTCTGGTTCGGGTATCAGGAATGCTTACACTTCTCCCAAGACACTGGTTTTAAAGCATGGCCTCTGAATAATTTTAAATGATGCCATTTCTTTCAGGTGGGCAGCTGAAAGCTTAGAGCCAAATTGGTGGCCCAATGCTAACAAATAATTTTTAAAATGTCTCACCCTGTATACATCTTTCTGTATACATTGTGTATACATCTTTATGAGCCAACTTAAATCCTTTACAAATCATGAGGTTATGTAAAAATTCATTAAGCTTCGAGAATTTTAAAACCATAATGATTTCAGTACTTAGTAATGCAAATAAACCTCATTTATAAATTCAAGACAATGAGGTAGCATATAAGTAGCTTGAAAAAAATCAGTTCAAGTTGATTCTCTGTCCCTATATGGCAATAAAAAACATTAACAATTACTTTTCATGATTCTGGGTTAAGAATTAGAAAATCACTATACATAAAAGATAACAGAATCATGATTCATTTTTATGAAATAGTTATCCAAGCATGTTGATTTAGATTTGGGTCACAGTATGATTTACTCTAATTTAAAACTCATTGACACAGAAACTAGATTGAAAAAATCCAGGGCAACAGACTCTTAAAAGATAAATAGAGACATGGAAAGAAAAAAAAATCTGTGGTTCTACCACCCAAAATAACTCGTCTCTCATTCTCTGTAGCAGCTCTCTCTAGTTTTTAATTAATCAATTAATTAATTAATTAAATTTTTAATGTCTAAGGTTTCCTTTTGGGGGGCTAGGTATTTCTATGATGTAATCCTGTTGCCTTGTTCATTAAAAAGGGTATTTTCCAACATTACTACAAATTCCTTTTAAACACTAATACATATACTCCATCAATTAGATAGAACATAATTTACCATTTCGCTGTGTGGATATATACATTTTTTTCCCTAATTTTTCACTATTTTAAATAACACTCTGAAAAAACATTTTGGTACACAACACTTTTTCTGTACTCAGGATTTTTTCTTTAGAATAGATTTCCAGAAGTTAGTTACCAGGCAGAGTAAGAATGCAATCACTTTAAGATTCTTAACATACTTTGCCAAGTGGATTTTCAAAAAGGTTTTAGCCCTGCCCCAGGCAAGTGTGCAAATGCCACTTCACTGCTACCAGAATTAGCCAAGGTTTGATGTAAGAAACGACAGCTTAATAAATGTCCTTACAGATCCCCATTGCTGCTGAAGGGTTTGTAGTTAGCACTAAGGTCACAGGGGCCCAAATTAAAGACTGGTAGGTCTTATTTTTTTTGAAGCTTTGCAAAATCATCTGGAGAAAACTGGTTTGCAAAAGCTAACCAAATCGAACAAACAAAAATCCAAACAAGCAAACACAAACCCCCACAAAATCACAAAGTGCTGAATATACAAAACTCAGGCAACATCCCACAACTGTAAAACATGATATAAATCTAATGATACGACAGAGAGCAAATGTTACTTTCCTTAATATTTGTTGAGTGCATTATGCTGTGCCAGGCACAGGGTTAGGTGCTGTTAGGAAATGAGCTTTGATAGACAAGTTCACGGTTAACCTCATCTACCCAATAGCCTGCTGGCCTCCACGTCCTACCACTATATCCCATTTATCAGACAACCAACATTTCTAGGAAACCTACTGAAGCAAATTTATTTCTTTGCTGATCGTCTTCCATGTTTGACTTTGCTCACAATGTGGCAGGGGATAAATCCCAAACATAACTTAGCTCGATTTTATAGGAATATGTGGTTGGGGAGAAGTGGCGGGGAGGACAGCATGATCAACAACGATTTAGAATTAAAGAAAAATGCTTACTATGCTATTTATTCCAGTTTCTGACAGGTCAAACATCACTGTTACCGGTTTCCCATTTTCTCTCTTAGCATAACGTTCCAACCAGAATGCGATAAGCTTCTTTTTGTCCAATATGGTTTTAGGGTCTTTTATATGATACTTCACCCTGATCCAGACTTTCAGCAGAACATAAGATAAAAATAAGAAAAACGTTTATGGCATTATAATTTTTTTTTTATACTTATCCTTTCCGTTTTTCTTCACTTATTCATTTTGTCTCTCAGATTAAACACGTCTCTTCTTTCTTTAAAATGAGAAATAGTGTGCACTTGGGAACCTTAAAGAGTAGCTGAAAGGTAAACTATTTTTGTCCCCTTAGGAAATAAATTTCGCAAGTAAGGTGGAAAAGAACATACAGGTGAACAAACAGTATTTGGTAATAACCTAAGAGTACTGTTCACTGTGTTTAACGAAAAGAAAGCCATTGGTTCTGTCAAGCACTAGAAAAAAATGTTCTTTCCAGAGGAAAAGTGTGGACAGAGGCGCTATGAAGGTGTGAGCAGGTGTCGTGCATGTGGGTGGAGTGTGGCAAACCATTCAGAGTGGTGGCAGCTAGGACAAAATGTGATGACTGGTGAGAGGAGAAGCTGAACAGACAGGGCTGGGCTTCAAGGACTCTGAATGCAATGCTAAGGTGTTTTGATTTTCCTATTTATAACATCTCTCAGGCAGCAGCACAGAGAGGAGATGGGAAGAGGCAGAGGAGGAAACCCAACGGGCGATGCCCCGGGAAGGGACTGGGGGGTAAGGGGGACAGTGAGGGACTGAAATGAGGAAGTGCTGGTGAAAATGGAGAGGGGCTAACTGAAGCTGTGTCAGAGGGAAGAGCCAATGGCTGCTGGCCTGAGCTGGACAGAGCAGGGACAGAGCAGGTGGTGGGACGTGGTTGTTCAGCTGTGTGTTGTGTTGAGGGCAGCCGGCTGGCAATCAGTCTGGTGGCACCAGTCAGTGGGCAGCTGGGCATGTACGTGCATGTTGCCTGGGGACAGTGTGGGCTCTCTGCTGTTTGAGGGGAGGAAGCTGAAGCTGTCGTGGTGCTTGAGATCACCCAAGGAGACTGTATCAGCTAGAAAGTAAGAGGCCAAGGAAGGAATGAAGCTAGGGAAGCACTTTTAAGGGACAGGCAGAAAGAGAAATGCGCAAAGAAGACTGAGGAGGAGGAGCCAGCGACAGGAAAATGCAAGGAGTGCTGTTCAAACAGGAACAGACCACATGCCACCGAGGGCAAAGTGCGCACTGACCATGCAGTAAGCTCACTTGGCAGGACATCTGCTCAGGATGGCGCTCTGACACTCCTGTGGAGCCTCAGCCTTGGTAAAAAAAAAAAAACCAAGCTGGAGTTTGGGCAATGGGGAGAGAAGAAAATCACTGGGAAGGCAGGGAGGAGGGTTACCGTTCCTCCCACCATGGGCTATCACACAGATTCACGAGACGTGAAGGGGAGAAGACTGGGAAACTTGAAAAACATCCATGGATCAACCCTTAGGGGGCTGTCAAAAAAGATGTTGCATAAAAATGCTGGGTTGAAGTTTAATATGACAGTCAAATTAGAAAGAAGATAGAGACTCTGGATTACATTATTTTGGCTGCTTTAGAGGACGCAGCATTTGCCTTTGCCGCCTGGTTTATTATAATGTAAACAGTAGTACAACTCGTAAGTATATGCTGCTCGGTTGGGATGGCTCGAACAGTCCCCAACTGCAGGAAACTCGCCGTGTGCTACATATGGAGAAAGTGCTGCCTATTACGAATTCTGTTGAGATAAGCACAGCTCAAAATCTTGAAAAGCCAGCATGTAAATATACTTACACAACTTGTTGCCTTCTTTGTCATAACCGTGGAGATAAATACCACCGATTTCGAATAACCATCTGGGAATGGAGGATTCAGTCAGATCTAAAAAGTGATAAACTGATGAGTAATTGTAACTTAGGGGCCTTTTTAAAAAGAAAACATAATGTAAAGGTTAATGTTATGTAGCTCTGATATAAAAAAGATAAAGCTTATTTAAACATCTGGATAGATTCCAGTAAATAACGGTGTTTCTTACTAAGTAAACAAACTGCATAAAGACATAGATGAGAGAAATGGAAAAAAAATCTGTTGCTCTTTGACGCTTCAGCCACTGTTGATGAAGACACATTTCTACGTCCGGTTGTGTTTCAAATAATGACTTGCAGACAAATAATATCACTGTTGGACAATTTCAAGAGAATGTGCCCTGCAAACACCCACATTACAGCTTCAGAATTAATGAAAAAATCACTATGGTTTCTTTTGAAAAATAATATTTTCCCACAAAGTTTGATGTGCAGTGGAGTCTAATACATTTTGTAAACTTGGGGCAAGTGGAAAACACTTCAAGAAAAATGCCAGCTCCTTTTTAGCAGGAGGAACAAAAAGGGCCTGTCCCGTCTCTAGCGAGGCTGAGAACCAACAGAAGCAAGGCAGCACGTGGCAAGGCTTTTGTTACCTTCACACGTAATTCCCCAAGAACTTTCAAAGATTTCTTTATCTTTCCCCAATCCTTGTATCATATTTCTGCTGTCTGCCACTGGAAATAAGCAATTCTATGTAAGAAAATACTACTGTTAAGTTTAAGCATTAATTTTGTACTTAAGTGATTTAGAAATATCAGATTTATATTACTTTGTGTGATCAATAAGTGCTCCACTGTTTGTTGAAATTACCTATGTATTTTTTTTTACATTTCCAATCAAATAGTTTCTTAAATATTCCCCTTCTGATGGATTCCTTCTAGAAGTGTGAGGCCTGGGGAGGGTGTCTGCTCTGGATTTATTCATCGACTACTTCATATTAAGTCTCTAGACTCAGTCACTCCAGAGTTTATCATCTTCAAGGTCAGGAAATTCTTTATACCTCATCAAAAGCAGTAGTTATGCCAGTTTGTTACATTTTCAGGAGGAAAGAGAGAGAATGAGTAACCTTTCCTGGGAAGATTTCTTTCTATACTTGAAGACTATTCTAAAACCCCCTAAGATTTCCAACCCCCCCTTTCTGGAGAAAATTTCATTTTTAAAGTGGGTCTTGAAATTAAGCCATTAAAAGAAGGCTACCATAGACATCCTTGGGAATCAGCCTGCTTTTGGGGGACCTCCATTCATTAATCCTATATGGAACACCTAGTGGAACAAGGAACTCTGGGAATAAAGACATAAGTCAACAACTGAGAAAAACAGGCAGGTAGTATCTCCTTATCTTTAGTCCTAATAGTGAAGATGCTGACGCTGTCCTGCTATTATTGTTTAATGGTACCAAAGTAAACAAGCACAGGTTAGGAGACTCTGCTGTGCGTGAAGAACGGAGCGTGATTCTATTCCCTGGTGATCTCATTTCCTTATGAATGATCCAACTTTTAAGACTTACTCATATGACATTCCTTTCAAAGTGTTACTGGGTCTGTATAAAACTTTATATTCCGGTGTTTATGATGATTGTCGAGGATACTTGAAAATACACTATTAGATAAATGTGAAACAGTAATATTTATGAAGGGGATAGTATACTGTCGGCGTTAAATCGAACAGCTTACCATTGACAGCTATTTCTTTCCTCCACTGAAAACTCTCATCGAGCATCTTCAGTGTTTCATCTATAACATCATGTCTCCAGAATAAGTAATTTTCAACCCAGTTATCGTCTTGTTGTAGCCTTTCAACATCACGTGGATCGTATTTATCTGGCTTATCTAGGGGAAAAACAGTAATAAATATCCAAGTCAGATAAATTCCGCAGTGAATAATAACAAAAGCTAATGTCAAAGGAGAACAAAGACCTCGAAGACAAAGCTAAGCTATTTGAAGAAAGACTCAGGGATGCAGTTCAGATGAAAATGCGATTTCAAGGACTGATGGAATTTCTAAGTGCGAGGAGATTAAGTTATCTAAAGGCTGCAGGTTTACTTTAAACCACCATAGATTTAAAAAATAAGACCATAGTCAAATATTTTGCACGACTCTCTCTAAAACTATAAACCAACATCTGGGAACATCAATTATGTTATCTGAACTTGAAATCCTTACCCTAGTCAATGAAAAATGAAACTATATGTAAAAGAATTAAGTTGTACTTAAAGACACTTTTTTGACAAGTGTCATTAAAAAAAAAATGAAAATACAAAATGGAAAACTGACCATGTATGCAGCAGTTAACATCACCTATAATTTACCGGAATAATTGTTTTCAAAATAATTTCTTATTATCTGCCTACACACACGCTATGTTTTTACCAACTTCTATACTTGATATTCCTCCTTCCACACCCTGCTCTATTTTTCTGTCATTGAACCTTCCTTGTCTCCCTACAACCACCTCTGCACATCCAAATTCTACATTCTGCAAGACTCCTTTCAAATGCTCCCTCTTCCATAAAATTTCCCCTGAGTCCAGAAGTCATTCCTTCCCGCTTGTGAACAGCTACAGGACTTGAACTAAGCCTTTCTTAAGGCACTTAGCATTTTCCCCCTTGAATCAGAGTCACTGGCATGCGTAGCATATCTTCTCAAATAGAGACCATAAAAGCAAGGTCTAGCCAGCCTAAGAATCCTCCGAAGCAGATTATAGTAGTGCCAATGAAAAGGCCTTCAGGAAACTTTTGTTGACTGAATCTATTCCTTCTCTATTTTTATTTTCTCTGTTAATGGTACTCTCCCAGGCACCCTAGCAAGAAACTTCAGAAAATTCTCTGGCTCTTTCATTTCTGCTTTGTCTTTTTTTCGTTTTTGAATCTAGTTAGTTGCCAAGTTTTATAGATTCTATCTCCTCTCAGTTTGCTCGGCCTTATTTCAGACCCTCAGAGATGATAGCCTAAAGGGCAGGATAATATAAAGTGCATTCAGAGAATTATTTTCTTTGAGTCTCAATTTCCTAATCTTTAAGCTGCTTTAGATACTCACAGGATTATGTGAGGATCAGATGAAAATGTATATGTGGAAGTACTTGAAAGTTTAGGGCACTATAAAATATGAGGCCATAAACCACGCATGTATAGAGTGTTACCTTGGAAAAGGCTTTCAATATCTGGGTTCTATTTTTCTAATCTATACAAAGAGGGGTTCTGTGGTACGTAAACCTTGGAAAATGTTTTTTAGCTCTGCTACTGGAAAATTCATCAGCATTCAAAACAACTTTTCTTTAATGATCATTTATAAACATGTGTTGGATAGAAAAGTTTACACTGCTTAGCATCAAGAGAGCCCTGGGAACACCTGACCCCTGAAGAAGCGTCATCCATTTTGCCTGCTGGCGGCCCTCTCCTCTGGACCAACATGGCGTTTTCCTTGAAATGACAGGCTGACTTCATTCATTTTTAAGAAAATTCCTGCCAAATACCTAAGTCTGAATAACAGTTTACTTGCCAGTTGTTCTTTCAAATAAAAGCGGTGGTCTATAAAAAAGTGACTAATTCAGCTGGCAATTCAAACATGTAGAAGTGTTTAATGCATACTTCCCAATTTTGTCACACACAACATTAAAAAACAATGTTACTCAAGGGTCAAGATTTAATAAAATTCACTGTTTCATCAGAGGCTTTCTAAAATAAAATCGGCTTTTTATTTTAAACTGAGAGAACCAACAATGAAGACTACAGTGACTACTAGCCTTGATTGAGGCTGCAGAGTGAGCAGTTCTACCCACCAATGCTTCTCTGTAATGGGTACAAATGTCGACAGGGTGAAAGAGGCAAATGGTTTCTTAATATTATAATGAAAATACTTTTGACCTCACTGGCTCCTGAAAAGAGTCTTGGGCATCTGAACTCTGAGAACCACTTAGAACAATATGCGGCAGGTGGTAAAAGCTCAATAACTATTTAGCCATAAGAATAAAACATTGTTATTTTCATTATCACTACCACTGCTGGTATTCACCACTAAGGATTCTGTAAATAGGACAGTGCATGTTATTAAGAAATTTAAAGCCGACTGCTCCTGGATAGCGTTTAGGAATGCAGATCTTTGAAATTAGAAATCTCTATATTAAAACGAATATTGGTATTAATAAAACGTGTACTTACATATGAAATACCTGTTCAACATTCACCCCTAGATAGGAGTGAAAACAGAATGGAAAAGACTGAGGAAAGAACTGGGGAGGGGATCTTTTGGGGGTGGAGGGAGAGAGGCAGGAGAAAAGTGGGGGCAGAAGAGGGCTGAGGGGGAGGAGAGGGAAGAGAGAATGAGAAAGAAACAAAGTGAGCATTCAAGGAAAGGAAAACTTGGCCTGGGACCACAGGGCCAAGTGTAATAATAACTGTGCTTAGGACAAAACAATTTGCTGCTTTCAAATACAGCCTCCAGACAACTGAATACTCAAGTTTTAGGGATTTTTCAGAAAACTAGTCTTTAGGTAAGTCCAGATGTTATGAGAAGAAGCTAAAGATGGATACTCAAAAAAGAAGCTGCTAAAGATATAAAACATACTTGTGTGCACACATACTACCCCTAAAAACCTACCCAGGGCACCATTTTGAAAGACTTTACCTCAGAGAGATTAGGAAGAGATTAGTTTTGAGGAATAGAATAAAGAAATAAAATGGAGTCACTGTAGTCAAGCTGCTAAATTGCTAAAATCGAGTAGGTTGAGGCATGAAGAAACGATTCTATTCTTGTTTTAACTAGCCTGGGAACGTAAAATTTTGAACTTTCCAGTCCTGTGTCGATGCCTGGACCTCCATATAAGCCCCTGATTACCTGCTGAGGGACCCACATATCTAGACCACCAGATGTGACCAGATCTCCTGGTGACCATCTTCTGGACCACCTGGCATCCATCATCCAGACTGCCTGACTTCTGACTGATAACTGGGACGAGTCCTAGGGCTAAGAACGCAGGGCTGATTCTTCTCAAGGATGGGACTTTTAAGAACTCTCATCTTTTCTTTTTTTCTTTGGAACACTTCCGGGTTTTTGCCTAGCTGTGTTCCCAGTTTGCAAACTCTAAAGCACTTGAACAAATCTCTATCATTTATTTCTAGCCAAAGCCTTCGGACTTTTTGAGTTCGTCTGACAGTTTTATATACCAATAACGTATGCATACTTTCATAATAGTGTCCTTATTTAATCTGGCTGTGGACCAGTGAAAACTTCATCACAGGCCAGCAATCTCAAGTGGTACATTTTTAAGACTCAGCCTTGCATTTCTTCAAAATAGCTCAAAGCTCATTTCAGCCACTCTTCTGTTAAGAAACCTTAGGGAACTATTAGCACACCTGTGCTTCATTGTTTTTTTCTACTATTTGTTCTTATATGAATTTTGCTCTGTAAATTGGTTTTATATTCATACAATGTATCACCACTAAACACATTGCAAAGTTCATAATTTGGCTGAGAAATAATTAAACGGTGATTCACCTCTGGATCAGGGTAAAGATAAGTCTCTCAGCTTTTCATCTCTCTCTCGTGCATGCATGCACACAGACGCGATATCCCCTTCACACTGTTTCTCATGTGTATACTCTGAAAAATGTTGCAACATAGAGAATACAATTGATACTCATAAAACAAAGTTTCTTTATTAACATTTCTTTTTGTCTTGTACTTGATGGCTGGTGAAATTACCAACAGGGCAGAAACTGTGTTTTAAGGTAAACAAATATGAAAAGATTTCTAATTAGATTCGGGACACAGGACAGAGGGATGGACTCAGAAGACCTATGCTCCTATATAGAGGGAGACTGAGCAAGTCACTCGGTCTGATTTTCTTCCCTGTAAAATGGAGATAATTAAGGTCTGCCTACCCACAGTCTTATGAAGATCAAGGATACTTTGAGAATGTTAAATACTATATGAGTAAATTTTATGCATATTAGATTAATAAGAGTGCTACCCATGAATAGAAGACTTAATTCTAATTGACCTATTAATCAGTTGAGAAAATCTTGGAAGTATATTGTAGTTATTATAAGTGTGCTTGGAATTCAGATAAAGTTTGAAAAAAATACAAAAGTATTCTGATAACAAAATGAATCTCCACTTTCCTGTGAACCTATCTGGGGAGAGACTGAGAGGCAGTGATCTTCTTTGATGGGATTAAGCCACTGGCCTACGGCAGTGATTCTCAAAATTCAGCAAGCATCCAAATCACCAGGAGGGCTTGTTAAAACAGAGATTAGGTCCTACCCTTAGAGTGTCAAAATCATGGGTGGGATCCAAGAATCTGCATTTGTAACAAGTTCCTACAGGATGCTGATGCTGCTGTTGTTCCAGGGACCACACTTTGAGAGCCGCTGGTTTACTGCAGGGGTTGGCAAACTTTCTGTATAGGGCCAGATGGTAAATATCTAAATATCCTGGATTTTGAAGGACACACAGGGTCTCTGTTGCTGGTTCTTCGTTGTTGTTGTATTTTTAGTGACCCTTTAAACATACAAAAAAACATTCTTAGCTCGAGGGCTGTTCGAAAACAGGACTTTACTTATTGACTCCCCTTTGGTGTAGAGAGCGGCAGTGCTTTCTGCTTCAGCTCCGGTCTTTAAAGAGATGGAGTCATATACTGGATATGTAAGAGACACACTATCTTAGATGATATATCACTCTGCTCATCTATTCAGGTTTTCTTTCAATGTTCTTTCATAACATAAAAGTACATTTCTTTAGTTAGATTTGTAGGCAGCTTAGAGATTTTTTGTGTTGCTATCATGAAGCAATGAATGATAAGATTGGCAAATCTCATACCTATTATATTCCT